GAAACAAAGCAAACGGTTTTTTTTCAGAACGCTACCAAAATGCATTCCTTTTATGCCAACTGTGCAAATATCCTACCACATAGTAAACATACATCGCGATGAAATGTTGCAAAAATGAAAAGCTAATTTTTCTCTATCTCGTTATCTTCCTCATTTCTTTCTCTTCGGATAAAAGCAATCTGAAACAGAGCTCAAAACCGCAACTCCTTGAAAGATATGCGACTGCGCTTCTACGTTCTATGTTCACTTATCTCTTAAAACTGTCGATTTGAAAAATAATAAAGTACTTATAGTCTGGCGAAACCCTTCTCATTGTTGCTGCACGTGCAAATAATGTGGCAGCCGTCAAGACACTCGCCCTCGACCCGGACATCCTGGACGAATCTGACAGCGTATGACTTTGCTATCTTTATTACTCGTCTTTCGTTAGATTCACTTTTTTACTGTCAGTTTTCAGGAAGAATGGAGTGCGTTATTGAATGCTGCTCACAAAGGCCATACAGAAGTGGTCAAAATACTTTTGGAAAGTGGAGCTAATGTAGATTTCCCTGATTCGGTTCGTTTCCTTGTCACAGCTTGAGAGTTCCTCTACAAAAATTGGTATTAGTTTAGCTAATATTTCGATTTAGCTGGGATGGAGTCCTTTGATGTGGGCTGTTTACAAATGCCATCCTGATATAGTGGATCTGCTTCTAAATTACGGAGTAGGTAACTCGTCTGTGTTTGCTTCCTGCTTTTCATGGTTAGCTGCCATATGTTGAAATTTGAGGCTCACGTTAATCTGATCGATGAAGAAGACGGTTTAACTCCACTTATCGTAGCGGCTGGTCGTGGCTTTACTGCTGTGGTTGAGAGATTGCTTGCCGCAGACGCTCAGGTGAAGTTGTGAGAAAATCTTTTTCTCTGAATTATTCTATGTCGCAGTGTTATAGGTCAATGCTTGCGACAAATTTGGCAGTACAGCTTTGATTTGGGCTGCTCGAAAGGGTCACCTTCCAATTGTACAAATGTTACTGAATGCCGGTGCTGAAGTAGATGCCGTTGGGATGGTAATACTGTTACAAAATTGCTTCATCTTTCTTAAAATAATATAATTTTAAGCGCCATAGAAAGCTATGTTGCAGTCTGGGAAGCTTGTTCATAAATATATTAGAAAGTGTCAAAAAGAGAGGTAAAGAAAAAGAAAATTCCAGTGGTCGTCAACGGCTTTAATGCTAGCTACGAAAGGAAATTATCTGAGTGTGGTTGACCTTATTTTGACGCGGGAGCCAAACGTGAACGTCGTGGATCAGGTGTGCTTCGTAACATTACTGATTTTTATTGTGTTGATTTTGTTCTTCTTCTTTAGAATGGCCTGTCTGCGCTAGGAATAGCAGCACGGGAAGGTTATGCAGATATTTGTGAATCTCTTATCAATTCGGGTGCTTTCGTCAATCAGTCTGATAAGTCAGTTCACCCGTTGTTGTTTTTATATCATTCCGCTGCGATGACTCACTTGCGTTTGTTTGAATATTATGCTTTTTAGGTACGGCAATTGGATATTGATTAGCGCCGTCCGCAGCGGAAATGCTAATATTGTTCGATTGTTGCTGGAAAAATTTGCAGATGTCAATGCAAGAGATTCGGTAATACAATGGACCTGTTTTCTCTTGGATCCTACTTAAAATCGTTTCCTTGTTTCAGGAAAACAGAACAGCTTTGCATCTTGCTATCGATAAATCTTTTATGGATATTGTATATCTGATATTAGAAAGAAAGCCAAATCTTGAGCTGAAAAACAAGGTTTGTGTTCATTTTGAATAGTTTATGTACTACATTGCATTTTGAACCTTAGCGCAGATGCTTTCTCCTGCTTTTTATTACAGTTTGGTATTTATTGAAAGATTTTTCTCTCAATGGAAGTTGTAAAATGTGTTTTGTTCTTCTCCCACGGTCCATGTATTAATAGTGCAAAAGGAACGGATCGTTTCCCACTTAGATCAAGTCTTCAATTCCTTCTGGAGCAAACCTGTCTATGGGGTTGAATACTGCATAGTATTGTAGCGACTCTACTTAGGCATTGTAGGCCAAAGCACATTGAAATGTTTTACGATTTTAAGTGGATGTAGAGTTCGTGGAGCATACCTAGACGGGTTAACAGAGCATTACGCACTACTAGTTTTGTCTTTCGCCAGCCACCGGGACATCCCTTACCCTGCATATGCTTTACGACTTCACTCTGTACTCAACTCCACTTGTGAGATCAACATCTTCTGGAGGAGGATCCGAACGCATGAGAAATAGTGTTATTATAGAGGACGTTATCGCCTCTATGAAGTCAGGTTAGAATGAAACATCGATGTTA